ATTAATTTAAATATATGTTACTTGCCTATTCTATAACATTATACAAGTATTACTTATTATTGGGAACTATTTATTGAATGACTACTCTATATAATGCCCTCTATTAGGCACTGGAACTGTAATGGTGAGTGAGACAGACATGGCCACACCCTTGTAGATCAATAGTCTGTCACCGGGGAAACCAGGCTTTAAACGTTATAACTGCGTTGTGTAATGGCAGCTCAGGGTGCCTTGAGAGATTCTAACAGGGGGACCTAGCCCAGTGGGAAGAAGAGAAGGCTGCCTAGTTCTGTTGAGACCCAAAATGGTCGTGTTTTGAGGGAACAGCATGAATGAGTTGAAAAAGATGAGAGAAGGGACAAAGACACCTGTGTGCAAGCACTTATCCAGCCTTTGTTTGTTGCACATTGCTGATATCCTGTCATTAATAGAGGTCACCTGGCCAAATCAGAATCAAGATTACAGGTATTTTTTACCACACCTAGCTATTTGTTTTGGTTTCATCCCTTTCTTTCCAGCTCTGAATGCCCTTATCACCTGTGTCCTGCTTTACTACAGTAGCTGCCTAACACTAACATTAGGTATCTCTTTTCTGCAATCCAGCCTCCACGCTAGTGCCCTGGGCGGCCATTCTAGAATACACTTCTCTCTCTCTTTTGGTGGGGTGGGGCACGGTCTCATTATGTAGCTCAGACTGGCATTGAACTCACTATATATAGTGATAAATTGCCCACACTGGCCTTGAACTTGCAGCAGTGCTCCTGCCTCAGCCTCCTGAGTGCTGGGATTACAAGCATTACCTACCACACCCAATCTGAATCTCTCTCATAACCATGTTTTGTTCCTGTCTACTGATTTCTCCTGACTATATATGCGACAAACCACTGCATACACTCTCTGTATACACTTTCTCTTATAAACTTACCCGTTTATCAAACATGTTGTTTGGTTCTTGCTATACCATGCAGTCTTACCCAAGATTACCATGGTAAATAGATGAAGCAGTTGGGTGTGGTGGCTCAGGCCTGTAATTCCTTCAAGTGGAAGACTGAGGCAGAACGATCACCTTGAGTTCAGGGGCAACCTGGACTATAAATTGAAATCCTGTTACACACACACACACACACACACACACACACACACACACAAAAAAAAAAAAAAAAAAAAAAAAAATAGAACAGAACAGTAACAACAATAGTAAACAGATAAAGCAGCAAGCCCTCTAACAGCAAGGCCCATGCCACAAAGCTCCCTGAGTGCTCAGGGTGAAATCCGTGTGCTATCAGCCAGCACCCCAACCCTGGCTTGCTTTCTGCCCTCAGTGCTCACTGCCTACATTTTGCCTACTTTTTTTCTCACACTCAGCTTTGGATCCTCCACCGTGGTAGGGCTCCTAGCCTCTTCCTCTTACACGTCCTGTGTTTTCTTTTCCTCAAACATGCTTTTCTGGCATCTTCACTGGGATGAGCCCTGTCTCTAGAGATGTGAGGATTTTTCTTTCCCTCACATCCCCAATATAAAGTAAATATGCTCTGGGAATAGTGGCACATGCATGTGATTCCAGCACGTGGAAGATTGAGAAAGAGGTCATGAGTTGGAGGCCAACCTGAACTACATACTAAGAATCTGTCTCAGACATCAAAATCAGGTGGGTGAGGTGGTGTGCACCTAGTAATCTCAGCACTGAGGAAGACTGAGGGAGGAAGATCACAAATTCAGAACCAAGCTGTGCAACTTAGTGAGCTCCCATGACTCTATCTCAGGCCGGCCAAATAGCTCAGCAAATTAAAATGCCTGAAAGCAGGCGTAGGGGCCAGGGGTTCAATCCCCAGGCCTGCCAAGCTGAGAAAGCAATTGAGACTGGGCATGGTGGTGCACACCTGTAATCCCAGCTCTTGGAAGGCTGTAAACAGGTGGATCACTACAAGTCTGATCTAGTAGTGAGACCCTGAATACCCTGTAGACCCTTCCCTAAAATTAAAAAAAAAAAAAAAATCAAGAACCTATCTCAAAACAAAAACTGAAAAAGGCTGAAGATGTAGCTCAGTGGTAAAGCAATTATGGGTTCAATCCCCAGTACTGCAAAAACAAACAAAATAAATGAATGAATGAATGAAAATGTGTGTGCTTTGGGGCTGGGGAGATAGCTCAGTTGAATAAGTGCTTGCCAGGCAAGCACAAGGGCCTGAGTTCAATCCCCGGCTCCTCCCCCCGCAAAAAAAAAAAAAAAAAAAAAAAAAAGTGTGTGCTTCTTCATGCTCATGCCTGCGTGGAATCCCATACACACTTTACCATGGTGTTTGCTTTAGTCACTTTTAACTAAACTGAGACTTTCTGGGGACAAGATCTCAGTATGCAGTTCAAGCTTTCCTTGAACGCACAGTGTAGCCCAGCCTATCCTCAAATTCGCCTCAGTCTCCTGTCTCAGCTTCCCAAGGGCTGGGATTACAGGCATGGACCTCCATACCCAGCTATTAGTTCAAGGATTGTTTTCTTTCTGTGCTCTGATTACGTAGGACAGTCCCTAACATCTATAAGGCTATCATGAGTGTTTGCAACATACAAAGAAAGGGGCCGGAAGGGCAATCCCTTTATTGTCACTTCTATTTGCAAGTTGGAAAAAACAATTCCCCATATAATTGTTTCCACCCTATTTAGATTCATAAGCCATCACAAGTGATAAGAATTTTAGACTTTTTCTTGCCCAGTTCCTCACTTAATAAAGAAACAGAGAAAAATTAGTTCCTTGGGGTCATATAAGAATATAGCGATGGTAGGGCCAGGGAGATGGCTCAGTGGAATAAGTGCTTCCCTGGCAAGCGCAAGGGCCTGAGTTCAATCCCTGGTTCCACCAAAAAAAAAAAGAAAGAAAGAAAGAAAGAAAGAAATTGTTATTGGCGCTGGTGAGATGGCTCAGTGGTCTAAAGCACCTACTTAGAACAAGGTAAGCTAAGCAAAGCACAAGGACCGCGGTTCAATACCCCAGCACCACATGCCAGCCAGCCCGCTCCCTGGTGGGCTGAGCTGGCCACACACACACACACACACACACACGAAACTGTTTCATTGACATTTGTTTCACAATAAAATTAAATAAATAAATAAAAATGTTTTTTAAAAAAAAGAATATAGCGATGGTGTCAGCAAAAACCATATTACTGTATTTCCTTGTGTAGCTCCCCCGTTTAATGTTTTTTCTCCTGCAATAAAACACAGTTTTGGAATGCTGAGGTTGGTGGCACACACCTATAAACCCAGGCATGGTAAGCTGAAGCAGAAGAATTGCTGTGAATTTGAGGCCAACCTGGGCTACATAGTGAGTTCAAGGCCAGCTTGAACTGCAAAGCAAGACTCTGTCTCAAAAAAAAAAAAAAATGGAGGAAAAGGAAGAGGAAATGCAAGGGGAAGAGGAGAAGAGAGCAAGAAAAAGGAGGAGATGGCTCAGTGGAATAAGCGCTTCCCTGAAAAAAAAAAAAAAAAAAAAAAAAAAATTGGAGAAATTATGGCAGAATTTAGTTTTCTGGAGACATTTTGTATTCTGTTATTGTTTCTCAGATTATTTTCCTGCATGTTTTCAGGTCATCGAATCCTTAAAGTACATCAGATAAAAGGGTCTGTATCCATTGGAGTCGATTTTGTGGGCTATTCAGAGAAGAAAAGCCCAAAGGTGAGTGGAATCTGTGATGTGAGAAACAGCCAAAACAGGCACGGTAGTGCACGCCTGTGATCCCAGCACTCGGGAGGCTGAAGCAAGAGGATCACTGTGAATTCAAGGCCAGCCTGAGCTACATAGTGAGCTCAAATCCAACCTGAACTGCATAACAAGACTCTGTCTCAACAAAATGAAATGAAATGAGAAAGGAACATAACCAAAACCATAAGTGTGCTAATGAGTCTACTGTATATAGGGCAGAAGTATCATAGTTTGGAATCTGGCCTGGACAACTTAGCAAGAACTTTTTTCAAAATTTTACAATGGACTAGTACTATAACAGGGAGAACACTGTAAGTTTAGTTCCTAGAACTCCCAAAATTAAATTGCTGGGTGTGGTAGCAAACAACTGTAATCCCAGCACCCAGAAAGCTGAAGCAGGAGGGTCACTGTGAGTTCAAGGCCCTTCTGGGCTACATAGTGAGTCCAAGGAAAGATTGAACTGCATAGTGAAACTGTATGAGAGAGACAGACAGACAGACAGACAGACAGACAGACAGACAGACAAAGAGAAAGAAAAGTAAAAAGAGCTGGCAAGCTGGCAGTATAGCTCTGTTGCGAAGGGCTCCTGGGTTCAATCACCAGTGCTTGCCTAAATAAATGATTTTTCTTTTTTTTTTTTTTTTTGAGACAAGGTCGTGCTGTGTATATGTAGTTCAGGCTGGCCTTGAGCTCACTGTGTAGCTTATGCTGGCCTTTAACTCAGGCACTCCTCCTTGCCTCAACTTCCTCAGTGCTGGAATTATCAGTGTGCATCACCGTACCTAACAAGGATCTTCTTTAAAAATTGTTGATAAGTAATGTAGCTCTGAGAACCATGCCCCTCTCTGATACTATTATCTTTGGCACTTGTGTGAGTACAGGAATTTCTCCCACTGTGCTAAGGAATTAGAATGTTCACCTTTGTGCATTTCTCTGCATTGCTAGGACATTGCCAACACACCCAGATCTGCAGCTGTGGAGCTGCTCCTAGTGGATGATGTGACTGTGTTTCCAGAGAATGCCACCATCTACAACCACCCTGATGTGCAGGTGACACTCTGTAGATCTACTTCAGTGCAATCATAGCAGAGAGAGGACTTTATATGTCACAGTATAATAATAAACTCACATGTTTAAAATCAGATATTTATACATATGTATCACAAATATGTATAAAAATAAGCTACACTGTTGAGTTTTGTTTGGTTGGTTGATTTTTTAGCTATAGTATTCTTAAGAGTTACAGTTTATAGGCTGGGGATTTAGCTCAGTGGCACAGCACCTGCCTGGCAAGTGCAAGGTTGTGAGTTCAATTCCTAGTAAACCCCCAAAAAAGAAAAGTTACATTTTATTAATCTTTTTGGGTTTGGGCCATTGGCCATAATCTTTTAATGTCATACCACTTTTCGATAGAAGTTTTTCTTTTGAGCTGTTTGTAAACTGAAGGGAATGTGATATTGTTGGTCTGCTTTTTCCACAGGAAGTATTTAGCCTTGTGGAAGGATCTGGTTACTTTTCAGTCAGCAGCCATGAGCAGGGCATTGCCAGCATCACTTATGCAGAAGCAGACAGCTCTGTGCAGGTGAGTGGTAGAGATAGTCCAGACTGATGGGCTCAAACCAAAGTTCCTTTTTAGGATGAGTGGAAAATTCCCTTATATGTAAAAACTTCGTACAAAATAACTTTTGAGGGCCGGCCAAATAGCTTAGTGGATTAAAGTGCCTGCAAGCAGGCACAGGGGCTGGGGGCTCAATCCCTGGCCTGCCATGCCAGCCCTGCCCCCAGGACATGCTGAGACTGGGCGTGGTGGCGCATGCCTGTAATCCCAGCACTTGGGGGGCTATACACAGGAGAATCACTTGTGCCTGTAATCCCAGCACTTGGGGGGCTGTACACAGGGGAATCACTTGTGCCTGTAATCCTAGCACTTGGGAGACTGTACACAGGAGAATCAGTATGAGTCTAATCTATCCAATCTATGCAGAGAGACCCTGTACACCTTGTATACCCTGTCCCAAAATAAAAAATAAAAAAAAAAAAGTAACTTTTGAGTTTAGCTTGGACAATGTAGTAACTTAGTGAGAACTTGTTACAAAACAAAAAATAAAAAAGACAGAGTCAGCATGAAGACTCTGGGTTCATCTTCAGCACCACACAAAAAGTAACATTGGCCTCTTTTTCCATCTTCAGCCTGCACAGATTCTTTAGCCAGAATTGGGAGGTTTTCCTCCAGATACCTACAGTACTGGGTAGATTTCTCTCCTGGTTGTACTGATACAGCTATAGGAAACATGTAATTAGAAGATTTCCACTAAAAGTTTCATTTTTATGAATATCAAAACACATAGCTGTGTCAATATTTAAATGTACTCTTGCTGGGTATGATGGTGCATACATGTAATCCCAGCACTTGGGAGGCTGAGGCAGGAAGATCACTATGAATTGGAGGCTAGCCTGGGCTACATCGGGAGTTCAAGGCCAGCCTGAAATATATAGCAAAACCCTGTCTTAAAAAATATATATATAAACCAAAAAAAAAAAATAATAAAAAATAAAAAAAAATATATATATATATATATAAACAAACAACAAAAAAAATATGCTCACTTCAGCAGCACATATACTAAATAAAATAAAATAAAATACCGCACATAGGAGGCTAAGGCAGGTTTATGATTTCAAAATGCTGGGCTCTGTAGTAAATTCAAGGCCAGCCTTTTCTATACATAGTGAGACTGTCTCAAAACAAAACAAGCCAGGGTGGTAGCAAATACCTATAATCCCAGCACTTGGAAGGCTGAGGCAAGAGGATCTTCATGAGTTTGAGTCCAGCCTGAACTGCATAGTGAGATCCAAACTCAAAATGCAAACAACAAAAAGCCATACTTAAGGGCCAGCAAGATAGCTCAGCGGACTAGCATGCCTGCTTAGGGAAGCTTAGGCAAGCTCAGGGACCACAGGTCAATCCCTGACACCACATGCTATGCCAGCTCCACCCCCAGGGTGGGCTGAGCTTGTCAGAGTCTGGGCGTGGTGGCACACACCTGTAGTCCCAGCGCTTGGGAGGCTGAAAGTAGGAAGATCACCATGAGTCTGACCTGCATAGTGAGACCCTGCAACAAACCAAATACATTAAAAGAAAAAAAAAGCCATACATAAGACAGAAGTTAAATGTGTGTATGGATTGAATTTGCCTTAAATTCAGTCACACTCTGATCTTAATTAGTTAATATCTGTTAAGTTTATTTTTCCATAAACTGAAACATTATTTTCAGGCCACATACTGTACCGAGCCTGCACTATCTAACTTGACCTCTGAGAGTTCCCCTCTCAAAGGAAGTCCATCGCATGTTCTGCTGTAGATGAAAGCAGTTGTGATGATTGTGGCAGGAGCACGTTTTCTTCTTTACCAGCTGCTATCTTCCTTGTAGCTCGTTCCTGTACAGCCTGGATCGCTCACCTTGGAAGTCCATGACCTGTGCCTGCCTTTCTCTAGGCCAGCAAAAGCCCACCTCAGGGTGTCGGACATACAAGAGCTGGAACTCGATCTGATCGATAAGGTGAGAGACACTGCCTTTACCTCCAAAGGGGGGCCAGCTGCCTTCTCGCTCCCTGGCACTACTGACTACATTTCAGCTCAACTACTATGTGTGTAGGACTTTCTTGGTAAGTTTGTGGGAGAACTTCCTCTAAAGAGCCATGTTCCAGTACTACACGTGATAAAGATGAATATAAGTAAGTGTTAAAGGACAAATGGGTGTTTGTGCATGTTGTAATCCCAACTACTCAAGAGGCTGAGGCAGAAATATCTCGAATTCAAGGGTAGCTTGGGCAGTTTAATGAGATGCTATTTCAAAATTTAAAAAATAAAGGCTCAAACCAAGCAGTGACATCTCATACCTGTAAGCCTAGCACTTGCAGGCTAAAGCAAGAGAATTACTACAAATTTGAGGCCAGCTTGTACAAAATAGTGCTTTCAGGGGCCAGGGAGATGGTTCAGTGGAATAAGCATTTCCCTGGCAAGTGCAAGAGCCTGAGTGCAATCCCCAGTTCCGGAAATAAATAAATAAATAAAAAATAGTGCTTTCAAAACCAACCTAAATCATTGCCAGGCATGGTGGTGTACACCTGTAGTCCCAGCACTCAGGAGGCAGAGGCAGGAGAATTATTACAAGCTTACTGGGTTACAAAATGAGTTCCAGGCCAACCTGAACTACATAGTGAAATCCTATCTTAAAAAAAAGAAAAAGAAAATGAGAGAAAACGAGAAAGAGAAAAGAAAAAGCTAGGCTAAATTAATGAGACCTTGTCTCAAAAAACTATAAATAAATCACTCTTTGACCTTTTGGCTAAGATCAAGTGTAGTATATGTTCTTATCAATTTAATATGTGATATGTCCTCTATCTGAGGACAGTATATTAAATGGATTTTTGGAGCTGTATATCTGGTAATCTGAACAAGTAATTTGAAGACAATAATATACACGATAGCAACCATTGTTGAATTCCTATCACTTTGTCAGGTGAAATTTTGTACCATTTCCTTTTTTTTTTTTTTTTTTTTTTTTTTTTTTTAGGCAAGGTCATACTATGTAGTTCAGGCTGTCTTACTATTTTTGTATTCTCGTTAAAAATTAATGCAGGCCAGGGAGATGGCTCAGTGACAGAAGTGCCTACCTGGCAAGTGCAAGGTCCTGAATTCAGTCCTCCAGTACCAATCAATCAATCAATCAGTCAGGTGAATAATAAATCCAAATGTAAGAGGAAAAAGAGCTATAAATAAAGGTTAGAAGTATAGTTCAGTGGTTGAAGCATCCCTAGGTTTGATCCCTAGTACTGAGAAAACAAACAAAAAACTATTTAAAATGCATAGGGCAAGTAAATTAGGCTCGTTTGATCAAAGGCCAACCAGGAACATTAGCATGAATAAAGACTGTGTGTGTAGGGCTGGAGAGATGGCTCAGTGGTCTAAAGCACCTACTTAGAACAAGCTTAGCAAAGCATCAGGGACCGCAGTTCAATCCCCCAGCACCACATGCCAGCCAGCCCCGCCCCCTGGTGGGCTGAGCTGTCCTCTCTCTCTCTCTCTCTCTCTCTCT